CTCACCACTAGGGGTCAAAGCTGCTGGCACACTTCCTGTATACTAAACTGAGCTAAGAGAAGGGTGGGGGTGACCGCCCCTTACTACATATGACACATTTTCTGGATTAAATATCAAATATCTCAACTTTTTTCTCAAGATTTCTTTCCTTCATGTGCTCCTTTTTCTCTTTGAGAACTGACTGTAGAGCTACACCATGTTCCTGATGTTAATCAATGAGAACCCAAGTCTTCTTTGAGTTGTGGTTTTATTGAGAACATCTGTTTAAGTTTTGTTTAGAAAAGCAAATGTAGAAAAGTTTCATAAATAGAATTTATCACAGTGAGCGAGGTGCACTTTCATTTATCAGTAAAAAAAACTGAGTGATGTCTGAGAAACAGTATTGATGAAGAGAAATACAAAACAAAAATAAGATTTCACTTTCACAGTGAATCATCAGCTCAGTTATCTGCAGCCTGACTGCTCAGATCATCAGACACTGCTTTGTTCCGTACATTACAGACACACACGCTCGCAAAAACACACACACAGACAAACCAAAGATAAGAAATTCGGCTCAGTCCTACCAAATGAAACGTGATCCGTGTTCTTCTCCAGAGCTCTTTCTGTGATGGATCCTTTTCCAACACAGTCAGTTTCTCCTCCTCCATTAGATCCAGTTTGCATGTTCAATTTTTGTAAGTACGATCCCAGCGTATAATACTTCTATAGATCCAAAGGATTTATTAATCCTGACCCAACTGAAGACGCCAAGCCTTTTTGTTTAGGAAACATTTGTTCCAAACGATACGCTCTCTGTGTGACGGACAGACCAACCAATCAAAATCCCATTCGAGACTTCTTCTTCTTGGGTTGCGATGCCTGCGACAGCCCCAGTCGACCCTGTGAACTTTGGGACTGGGACAGGGACTGGGAGAAGCCGGACCAGGCCGAGGTGCCCTGGGACAGGTCCACCCTGTGGCTCCTCTGAGTGACAGACTGGGAGCTGCGGAGCTGAGAGGAGAAGGCCACAGGTGGAGGTGAGGGGTCTTCCAGGTAGTAACTATCATGCTGCAAGGGCTCATCCTGGAAACACAAAGTAAACAGTTGTTGTGAGTGTAAAACCAAATTATCTTTCTGTGTTTTGCTTATGGTCTAAGAACCATCTAGTAGCAAAGTTTGACTCTTGTTGCTCGTCATTCCTCCTTTCCTTCATTTCCAGTCATCTCTATTGTCAAACTAAAAGACAAACAAGTTTCAGGGAACCGGGCCTCACCGATAACTATACAAAACACCAACTTTATTCACTGACTTTGGTGAAACTGGATCAGAATTTATAGAGAGTTTGTCGATGGAAATATAGCCCTTGTTGTTCAGCTGCTTTGTTTCGGTTTCTGCAGTTGAAGAAACACTCGGACAATCAGAGCTTTGGAATCATGTCCCAGTCAGCTAACAGTAATAACTGTTATAGGGACATATTTCTGTCATGGTGACAGAAGTTAACTGCTACCACCACGGCTTCTGTGTCGACTGGACTGTTGTTAGGTGCACAAATATTACAGTGCTGAACACATCACCTGTCTCTTACCTGTGCAAACAGAGAGCTGAGGTAGCGCTCGCCTGGATGTTTGTTCCTCCTCTGACTGGCCGGTGTGGAGTCGGGTCTTGGTGTCAGGGACAGGGAGAGGGTGCGGGAGCTGCTGGGGGTCTCCTGCTCACCTTTTTTACCTTTAAGAGTTTGAGGTGTGGCCGTCGGCGTGGCAAACGGAGAGTCGGTTTGCACGGTGCTGGCTGTCGCGCCTCTTGGCGTCCCGTGCTCCAAAAAGCTCTCCAACTGGGACGCCGGACCTTCCGTGTCTGATTGCGCCCCCCGGCTCGCCTCAGAGGACCAGTCCGAGAAGTCGTCTAGCTCTGACTGGTAGCTGGATGAGGAGAAGCTCGCAGACAGCTCCAGGAGTGCACCAGCGGCTCTCTTCGCAGCCTTCTCCTTCCTCCTCTTCCTCCTCAGAGCCTCCATCTTCTCCTCCCTGTTCAGCCCCAGCTGGTCATTCCACCATGCCCGCCACGCCTCCACCCCCTGCCAGGACAAAGTCAGACGGTGGCTGAGCTGATCTGTCCAGACTGCTGTGTCCACGCCGTCTGGCACTGGTACCGCATCCGGAGCCTCGAGCGAGGCCGAGACGGCGCTGTGGACCAGCAGCGAGCGCTTGGACATGCACGCTCTCAGATCCCGCCTGAGGCTCTGTACACGCTCCTCTTCGGTCGAGTCTCTCGCTTCGCTGACAGACGGGTTGAGGAGGCCGTCGGTTGGGATCGTGAAGTGCTGCAGGTGGTGTGGGCGGGGCTTCTTTTCATGACTCTTTTGCCTCAGTTTTTGGAGCCAATGTTTCCACGTGACAAGAGTGCTGTCGCTGAGCTGTGCTGGAGTCTGGACCCTCGAGGGACCAACGTGACTCACGCTGCTGATTGCTTCCTTCACGCTACCAGGTTCTACGTTGCCGTTATTTTGACCCACCTTTCCATCTTCCACACCTGTGTCCAATTCGTCGTCCTGGTCCTCCCCTGAATCATTGTTGTTGACGACGACGTCCAGGAGCAAGTGCTTCAGGTATTTACGTTTCCCTACTGCCTCTGACTCCTCGGAGGAAGAGTCAGAGTAAATGTTCACGTCTCGCTGCTGCCTCTCTGGTGTTTCAGCAACAACTCTCTGCGCAGTCGGACCCTGAGTTGGTCCGATTAGATCCTCGTCGCTCGAAGTGTCACATATAACCGGCTGAGCATCTGGTTGACGCCGCTCTGCAGATTTCCTCCCTGATGTTGTGGCTTGTGACGACGGCTCGTTCTCTGCTGCTGGAGGTCGAGAGGCGTCCGGCTGCTTGGGCTCGAGGATCTGGTAGAAAATATCTCCCGCCTCCGTCAGCTGTAGGATACAGACACACTCCTCGCCACCTGCTTCTCTTCCTCCTTTATTCTGGATACAAGTCAGACCTGAACCCCCCCCCCCAAAACAAAGGTTAAGCCACATCACATATGTAGTTATTTTCAAAATAAAATGCAGACAAATCTGGCAACTATGACTATGATGACAGGACTTTTGATCCATACCTCCGGCAGGTGAGGACAGTCTGTTGGTTGCAGTGTCCAGACGGTGAGGGATCTGGACAGGAACGTGTTTCAGACTGTCTTTGGGTCTGAGCAGAGCCTGAGGAGGACCTCTACTGAAACAGGCCTCTGCTCTGCCTCCTGAACGAACACACACACACACAGAGTTTTATACAGATGGTAAGTATGAAGCCTGAATGCTTGAGATTATTCGAAAAGTCTAAGAAAAAATAAATTTGATTTGCTCTCGTCACACTGCCCCTATGGACTGACCTGAGTACTGCAGCAGTGTGATTTCCTGAGAACTCTGGGAGCCCAACAGGACCTTTGTGGTCCTGGCCCCGTCCACTGCTGAGCCAGAGGAAGCGGAGCCTGGAATCACGTGACAAAACATAGGCGGGGACTGCATCATGTGATCCCACTTGAGCATGGGCACGCTGGGGAATCGCTCGTCCATGATGTAGGCTGAGTACTGAGAGAGAGAGAGAGAGA